CCTGGCAACGCAGACACACTACTCCTGGCAACACAGACACACTACCCCTGGCAAAACAGTCACACTACCCCTGGCAACACACACAGTCACACTGCCCCTGGCAACACACACACAGTCACACTACCCATGGCAACACACACACAGTCACACTACCACTGGCAACACACACACACACAGACACACTACCCCTGACAACACAGTCACACTACACATGGCAACACAGTCACACTACCCCAGGCAACACGCACATAGTCACAATACCCCTGGCAACACATTCACACTACCCCTGAGAACACAGACACACTACCCCTGGCAACACAGACACACTACCCCTGGCAACACAGTCACACTACCCCTGGCAACACAGACACACTACCCCTGGCAACACAGACACACTACCCCTGGCAACACAGTCACACTACCCCTGGCAACACACACACACTACCCCTGGCAACACAGACACACTACCCCTGGCAACACAGACACACTACCCCTGGCAACACAGACACACTACCCCTAGCAACACAGACACACTACCCCTGGCAACACAGACACACTACCCCTGGCAACACAGTCACACTACCCCTGGCAACACAGTCACACTACCCCTGGCAACACACACACACACTACCCCTGGCAACACACACTACCCCTGGCAACACACACAGTCACTACCCCTGGCAACACACACAGTTACTACCCCTGGCAACACTGACACAGACACACTACCCCTGGCAACACACACAGTCACACTACCCCTGGCAACACACACAGTCACACTACCCCTGGCAACACAGTCACACTACCCCTGGCAACACAGTCACACTACCCCTGGCAACACAGACACACTACCCCTGGCAACACACACAGACACACTACCCCTGGCAACACAGTCACACTACCCCTGGCAACACAGACACACACTACCCCTGGCAACACAGACACACTACCCCTGGCAACACAGACACACTACCCCTGGCAACACAGTCACACTACCCCTGGCAACACAGACACACTACCCCTGGCAACACAGACACACTACCACTGGCAACACAGACACACAGTCACACTACCCCTGGCAACACAGTCACACTACCCCTGGCAACACAGACACACTACCCCTGGCAACACAGACACACTACCACTGGCAACACAGACACACTACCCCTGGCAACACAGACACACTACCCCTGGCAACACAGACACACTACCCCTGGCAACACAGACACACTACCCCTGGCAACACAGTCACACTACCCCTGGCAACACAGACACACTACCCCTGGCAACACAGACACACTACCACTGGCAAGGAGCTGGGATATGAGGCAAGGAGCTGGGATATGAGGACAAGGAGCTGGGATATGAGGCAAGGAGCTGGGATATGAGGACAAGGAGCTGGGATATGAGGCCAGGAGCTGGGATATGAGGACAAGGAGCTGGGATATGAGGCCAGGAGCTGGGATATGAGGACAAGGAGCTGGGATATGAGGACAAGGAGCTGGGATATGAGGACAAGGAGCTGGGATATGAGGACAAGGAGCTGGGATATGAGGCAAGGAGCTGGGATATGAGGACAAGGAGCTGGGATATGAGGCAAGGAGCTGAGATATGAGGCAAGGAACTGGGATATGAGGACAAGGAGCTGGGATATGAGGCAAGGAGCTGGGATATGAGGACAAGGAGCTGGGATATGAGGACAAGGAGCTGGGATATGAGGACAAGGAGCTGGGATATGAGGACAAGGAGCTGGGATATGAGGCAAGGAGCTGGGATATGAGGCAAGGAGCTGGGATATGAGGAAAAGGAGCTGGGATATGAGGACAAGGAGCTAGGATATGAGGACAAGGAGCTGGGATATGAGGACAAGGAGCTGGGATATGAGGCAAGGAGCTGGGATATGAGGACAAGGAGCTGGGATATGAGGCAAGGAGCTGGGATATGAGGACAAGGAGCTGGGATATGAGGACAAGGAGCTGGGATATGAGGACAAGGAGCTGGGATATGAGGACAAGGAGCTGGGATATGAGGACAAGGAGCTGGGATATGAGGACAAGTAGCTGGGATATGAGGCCAAGGAGCTGGGATATGAGGCAAGGAGCTGGGATATGAGGCAAGGAGCTGGGATATGAGGACAAGGAGCTGGGATATGACGATAAGAGTAGTAGGGGTTTAGGCTTAGAGTAACTGGCGGGTTTGGTCCCCAGTGTCCGTTAAGCCTACACCCTTATAGGTCTGATCTTAAGGAGTTCTTATGGGGAAATAAACTCTATGGACCTAAGATTTTGTTTTGAGAAAAGTAATTTCCAGTGTAAGATATAAGCTCTTGGACCCGGCTCTATACGTCTTAAGCGGAGTCTCGCTACCATTAACCCAATTTTTTAACAATTTAAAGCGCTCTATTTCCGACGTAGTGAATAAGATCAAGGCAGCTACCGTGTTTTAGCTCCCGTCCTCCGCCTTACTTCTTTCTGGTAACTTTGCTGCTAATATCCCAATTTTCGCCCAATTAAAACAGTCATGTATTGGACATAGTAAAGGAGATAAAGTTAGTTACCGAGCTCCAGCTCCTGTCCCCCGTCTTAGTTCACTCTTATAACTTCACTATTAACAGCCCAATTTCCTCGACATTTAAAACTAGTTTACAACACCTTATTTCAGATGTAGTAAAGACAGGTGTAGAGGCGACGTAGTAATACCTCAGATGTAGAGGAATTTTCAGGTATAGCAGATGTAGAGGTATTTCAGGTGTAGTAAACTATATAAAGCTAGTTATCGAGTTCCAGCTCCTGTCCCCCGCCTTAATTTGTAAGATATAGTGAGAGATCAATATTTAAATTTGCGAAAGCTAATTAAGTTTACCAAATGATAAGCTTGTTGTGAACAGTTGTTACTAGTTGTGTGTGGTTGTAGTTACACAGTTAAGTAGAGGCGAGTGTTGAGGGAGAGGTTGTGTTGATCTAAGTGATAAGTCTCTACTTAATCTCGGATGTTTACTGTGATATAGACGACGGCCAGGACCTGGCCTCTTGTTGTTCTTCTTGTTCTGAAATAACTTAGTTTTGGTGAACATTGACGTAACGACGAAAGGTTTAAACTGATTTGTTTTATTTTACAATGTCAGAAATAACTTCATTTTAAAATGTATGAACATTTTTCTGTTAATAACTAACTTACATGAGTAAACTAAGGCGGGGGACAAGAGCCGGAGTTCGGTAACTTCATTGATCTTATTTCCTACGTCAGGAATACAACGGTTTTAAATCTCAGGAGATTTAGGGTGTTAATAACGAAATTACGAAAGATAACTTAGGCGGAGGACAGGAGCTGAAACTCGATAATTCAGTTTTCTTTTCTTACTACGTCTGAAGTACAGCGGTTTTAAATCTCAGAGATATTGAACTGTTAATAAAGAAGCTATAGAAGTAAACTAAACCGGGACCCAAGAGCCAGAGCTCGGTAGTTAACTTTATCTCGTTTACTGTGTCCGAACTGCAACCGTTTAAATCTCCAGGAAAATAATCCGTTAATGATGAACTTATAAAAGTTAATTAAAGCGGGAGACAAGGACCCAGATTCACGAAGCAGTTACGCAAATACTTACGATCCTGTACATCTTTTCTCAATCTTTGGCTGCTTTGTTTACAATTATTAAACAATTAATGAGCTCCGAAGCACCAGGAGGCTGTTTATAACAATAACAACAGTTGATTGGCAAGTTTTCATGCTTGTAAACTGTTTAATAAATGTAACCAAAGCCGTCATTGATTGAAGAAAGATGTACACGTTCGTAAGAACTTACGTAACTGCTTCGTGAATCTGGCCCAAGAGCTGGAACTCGCTAATTAACTGTAGTTTACAACGTCTGAAACACTTATGTTTTAAATCTAAAAATATTGGGCTACTAATAGCGAAGTTAAAAGAGGGGAAATAAGGCGGAGGACGGAAGCTAAGACTCGGCAACTGCCTTGATCTTATTCACTACGTCTGAAATAGAGCAGTTTTAAATTCTGAGAAAATTGGGTTAATAGTAGCTAAACTCCACTTAAGAACGTATAGAGCCGGGTCCAAGAGCTGACATCTGATAATAGAAATTACTTTTCCAAAATAATCACTGAAGTCCGTAGAGTTTATTTCTTCATAAGAACTTCCTAAGACCGGACCTTTAAGGGTGTAGGCTTAGAGGTGACCAAACCCGCCAGTTACTGGTAAGCCTAAACCACTACTACTGACAAGTAACTGGGATGAGAGGACGAGGATCTAGGATGGGGGGGGGGGGAAGGAAAGAAATGGAGTTGAACTTCCTGGACTGTCGGGAATTGAACGCAGACCTGCAAGAAGCGAACCCTCCGTTGTAGCAACCAGTCTGAGAGGCAACTCGGACCGTTGTGGACCATCTTGTAGCTACTGGGAGCTCGATATTAAAGCATTTTGTAAATTCAGACCATTCGGCCGTGGTTGAGGTAACAGGCACATACGTCGTCAGTGATCCACGACAGCAAGCTCAGGCCATACAGGGGTTGTCCAACCACTTAACCGCCCACTCTCCAAACAGGAACATCTCTACTTAACGCTGGAGCAAAGTTGGTATTGAGAAACAAGTTTGCAGGCCCCGGAGCACTACGAGATAACAGCTTTGGTTCAACACGTGTACACGCTCTCAACATTTTAGTATATATAAATTAAGTTGCTATGAGTGACGCAAGATGTAGAGGTTCCGCAGGGGGTCGCTAGCCTGTCTGAGGAACCCTTATTGTTCACCTAGCAGTAAATAGGTACCTGGGATTTAGGTGCCTATGTCTCACGCGGCCTGGTCGACGACCGGGCCGCGGAGACGCTAAGCCCCGAAGATCATCTCAATAAATCAATCAATCATCTCAAGATAAGCTGGAGTGTGTGTGTGTGTTCTCATATCTTCACTACCAGAGCCGTCAGCACCTGTTCCTTACACTTACTCTCTCACTTTTATTCTCCCGTCATTGTGTTCATGCTAGTGACACCTGCTCATCCCTCCGCGACACCTGTTCACCCTTCAGTGACACCTGCTCATCCCTCCGTGACACATGTTCACCCCTAGGCGACACCTGTTCATCCCTCCACGACACCTGTTCATCCATCTGCGACACCTGTTCATCCATCTGCGACACCTGTTCATCCCTCCACGACACCTGTTCATCCCTCCGCGACACCTGTTCATCCATCTGCGACACCTGTTCATCCCTCCACGGCACCTGTTCATCCCTCCGTGACACCTGTTCATCCCTCCGTGACACCTGTTCATCCCTCCGTGACACCTGTTCATCCCTCCGCGACACCTGTTCACCCTTCCGTGACACCTGTTCATCCCTCCGACACCTGTTCATCCCTCCGTGACACCTGTTCATCCCTCCACGACACCTGTTCATCCCTCCACGGCACCTGTTCATCTCTCCACGGCACCTGTTCATCCCTCCACGACACCTGTTCATCCCTCCACGGCACCTGCTCATCCCTCCACGACACCTGTTCATCCCTCCGTGACACCTGTTCATCCCTCCACGGCACCTGTTCATCCCTCCGTGACACCTGTTCATCCCTCCGTGACACCTGTTCATCCCTCCACGGCACCTGTTCATCCCTCCACGGCACCTGCTCATCCCTCCACGACACCTGTTCATCCCTCCGTGACACCTGTTCATCCCTCCGTGACGCCTGTTCATCCCTCCGTGACACCTGTTCATCCCTCCGCGACACCTGTTCATCCCTCCGTGACACCTGTTCATCCCTCTGCGACACCTGTTCATCCCTCCGTGACACCTGTTCATCCCTCCACGACACCTGTTCATCCCTCCGTGACACCTGTTCATCCCTCCACGGCACCTGTTCATCCCTCCACGGCACCTGTTCATCCCTCCACGGCACCTGTTCATCCCTCCGTGACACCTGTTCATCCCTCCGTGACACCTGTTCATCCCTCCGCGACACCTGCTCATCCCTCCACGACACCTGTTCATCCCTCCATGACACCTGTTCATCCCTCCGCGACACCTGCTCATCCCTCCACGACACCTGTTCATCCCTCCGTGACACCTGTTCATCCCTCCACGGCACCTGTTCATCCCTCCGTGACGCCTGTTCATCCCTCCGTGACACCTGTTCATCCCTCCGTGACACCTGTTCATCCCTCCACGGCACCTGTTCATCCCTCCACGGCACCTGTTCATCCCTCCACGGCACCTGTTCATCCCTCCACGGCACCTGTTCATCCCTCCACGGCACCTGTTCATCCCTCCGCGACACCTGTTCACCCTTCTGCGACACCTGCTCATCCCTCCGCCACATCTGTTCATCCCTCCGCGAGACCAGTTCATCCTTCAGTGACACCTGTTCAACCCTCCGCCACATCTGTTCATCCCTCCGCCACACCTGTTCATCCCTCCGCCACTCCTGTTCATCCCTCCGCCACACCTGTTCATCTCTCTGCGACACCTGTTCATCCCTCCGCAACACCTGTTCACCCTTAGGCGACACCTGTTCACCCCTCCGCTCCTCCCACACTTGTAAGGCTGCGAGGAAGGAAGCCCCAAGTGTACGGAGGAGGAGGCACCGTCTAGGGCTTCCATCTCCCGGGACCAACCCGTGATGGCTTCATTATTGTCATCTGACTCATTATCACAGAAGATGCTGCTCCCCTGTGTGTCAAGATCATCTTCCAGCAGCATCCAGGCGGACGTGCTCTCCTGTCTGTCTGTCTGTATAGACGGGTCGTGCTCTGTCTGGTTCCTGTCTTCGCTCGAACAATAACCAAGGCAAGCTCAGTAACTAGCCAGTGAGGCAATCCGTCTGAGTGGCCTGTGAAGCAAGCCGTCTGAGTGGCCAGTGAAGCAAGCCGTCTGAGTGACCAGACAAGTGTAGTACTGTTGACCGTTCTCACGACCAGGCAAGAAATGCTGAATGAAAACACTTGCATACTAGACAAACTCCTGGATGGAAGAAGCTTACAGATTCTTGAAGTCCTTCACATTAAGGCGGAACAAGTAACCATAAATACCCAAATAACGGAACTCTTCACCCACCATGAGAGTGAGAACAAGTCGCGATGATGCCAACGAGGACGTCAGTGCCCGAAACACATGCTCTCTACCCCCTGACTAATCTTTGACGGTATAGGTTATTGACCCATGCCTCTTACTTTTACTCCTCAACCATCACCTACTCTATGTACCTGACTTCCCTGCGGTATAAATCTATGTGTTCTCTTCTGTCTCCTTACAGAGACAGAAGAGGTTAAGTTGCAGCCTCGCTCCTGTACCAGGTAAGTCCACTACGGGCTCACCATAGCCCGTGCTACTTTGATATTTCGTTATGAGTAGCTAAATCTAAAACAACAACTTCTATCTCCGCCAGAGAAAATGACATACAAAGTGAAAGTGCGACTCCTCAAAGTCGACAAGCACTCTGAGCGTAAAATTGCAGCAGCCCTTGACAAGGTAACATTAGTGGAACCAGTTGACGTTCATATGCATGTTAACAAGGCTACGGTAATCGTTGCAACAAAAGCAGACCTACAGAATATCCTGGAGCCGGGTCCCACTACTGGAGGCGAACTTCTCACTAATTCCTCCCAGACAAATCACTCCCGGGAAAACAATATTTGAGAACAGGCTTAACCGCTGGTTAGCGGGTGCGGCAAGTGAACGAAGAAAACCCTAATCAGAAAGCAACGACAACTCTACTCATCAAGACTAAAGACGCCACTCGACCCACGACGAAGATGACCTTCGAAACAGCAGAACAGGTTCAGGAAGCTATGAAGAACGGTTTCAAGTGCTTTGGAATCACCTCCTCCCCAAATCAGATCGCCATGGAGAAGGTCTACAACATGTGACAATGCTCCAATTGCTTCAGCTATGAACACTTCTCCAATAAGTGCCCAGAACAAACGGCTAAGTGCAATTCATGCTCCGGCACTCACAACTACAAGGACTGTACCGCAACCACCATGAAATGCGCGAACTGTGGAGAACAGCACGCCACCACCTCCTGCCTCTGCACAAAAAGGAAGGAGGAACTGAATAAGATTAAAAAGAAGACCACCACGCCGCCGACCATCCAGAGGCAAGTCCCCGCGACCTTAGACCTTGGACCTGACTAGTTCGCAAGCCTACCTTTTATAAGCCAGATGCAGACTACGACCGTACCAGTCCTAACAAACAGTGGCTCCTCCCAACAGATCACCCAACCTAAGGACTAACCAGCACCCTCACAGTCCCTTGCATCAGGTGCAGGCATTATCTCTAGTCTTATTCGATTAGCAGAGAGGCTTGCCGGACTAGACAATCAAGATTCGTAAAGGAACTCAACACGCTGTACCTAGCCAACGGCCTGGATCCCATCATCGCCCCGGACGCAAGTCTCACTGCCTCCACTACCACCCTGGAGACTACCACCAGGATGACCATAAAGTTGATCTCAACACAGACACCAGAACCACCCTTGACCCGGGCAGAACAGAGGTACTGTATTTCCCTCCCCGGCTCCCAACACTCCTACCATCACCATCTCAGCAGAAGCACTAGCAAACATGATGTCAACAAATATAAACAATGCCACCAACTCTCTTGAAATACCTTCTACCACTAATCCACGACACCTGAGCCTACCTCATTCTTCGAGACGAAAGACAAAATCATCAACTATGGATGTTACGGACTCCTCAGATGAGGAAATCTTAGTAGGAGCTACACACCGCAGTACAAATACGACAACTACTCAGTACAAGACCTCCTCATGGAGGCCACCTCACCAAACTCCAACGACAGCGCAGCTCAGCCAAAGTCTCAGTCAAAGAAAAAACATAAGACCTAGAGGTCTACACTAACCCACCAGCTCCATAAAAGTTACAGCCAGTCCTCCGAGATTGAAATGCCTCAGAGAATGAAGACTACCATGAAGATGCCCATCCATACACAAATCTCTAGTATCAGATATTGGTACTGGTAATGGCTCCAAAGAGCTTCCACTTATGGGCTCACCATAGCCTGTGCTACTTTGAACTTTATGTTCTGAGTAGATGAATCGAAAGCAACAAGAAACAACTTCTATCTTCACAGCGCCACTCCTGTGCCAGATAAGTGCACTACGGGCTCACCATAGCCCGTGCTACTTGGAACTTTTTGCTCCGAGTAGCTGAAACTAAAACAACCTGTCTCTCCCAAAGACCCAGGAAATCCAGGACGCATCTCATTAACAAGCTGTCTGGCCAAAAGTGTGGAAAGAATGGCTCTTAATCAAATTAAATGGAAAGCCAATCCACTGCACCAAAATATGTTTGCTTACAGAAATGGTGTGGGATCCACAGAATGCCTTACCTTCCTCTTGGATCAAATCAATGACAAACCAGGAATCCTTATTTTCCTTTAAAAAGAAACCTTTTTATACCTAGAAAAGCCTTCGAGCTAGCCAATGCTCCAGCTACACTGTGCTGCCTGGCGGATAAGGAAATCAAAGGACACGCTCTTGCCTTTGCCAAAGGAATTCTGCTTAATTAACAGAGAAGCTAAAGTAAAATTTCAAGGAAAAACATCGACCTCAGAGAGGCTGGAAAATGGAACTCCGCAAGGAGGAATACTAAGCCCCTTCCTCTTCAACTGTCTCATGGAACAATTCATGAAGCTCAAGTTACTAAAAACCAAACTGCTTAACTATTCAGAAATCTTTGTGGTCGTCATCAATGGCAAAGGCGCCAGGAAACATGCACAAAAAGGTCTAGATATCAGCAGGGAACTGGAACGCATAGCAGTGAAAATAAACATTAATAAAACCAAAGCAATGGCCGTAAAAATGAGAACTCAGACTCGCATTACAAGGACATGAAATTGAATGGGTCACCTTTTTTCAATACCTTGGAGTCATAATTGACAGCCAGTTGAAATTCCCTCAAGAAATTGAATATCTTCGGCAACGTTGAAAGGCCAGAAACTCAGCTTTGCGCTCTCTGACAAGTCTTAGAGATGGTGCAGCTCTACCAGTACTCAAAATGTACTACGTTCAAGCAGTTAGGTCACTCATCGACTATGCTGCTCCTGCTCTTACATCCCTCAGTGATAACCAATGGGAGAATATCAAGTGTCTCAAAATAATGTTCTTAGAACAATGCTGGGAGCACCTATATGGACGTGTTCAGAGAATTTAAGAGTGGAAACCAACTTACCAGCTTAAGAAAACAGGATCAAACAAAGAATAGCCAACCTAACAGAAATACATTTTTGGAACAATTTTTTTTTTTTTTTTGCCCCGAGGGGCGAGTTTAGTGGGCAGCGCCATTCATCCTGTGAGTGGACACACTGCCATAGCAGCATGTACAACACTCCCCAATAGGAAGAAAACCCGCTGGGTTGTTCATCTTGTCACTTGTACCCAGACACAACTGAGACTTGCTCAACTGTCTCAAGTAAACAGCTCCTCAAACTAGAAGATTAACATCTGTCAACCCTTAAAATCTTACATTATCTTAGGGTAAAAATGGGGGAATCTTTTAAGAACAGTATCAAAATTTGACAAATAGTGTTTTCCTAACTCAAACAATGTGGGGTTTATTATTCTACACATATTTCTAATGTCCCTCAGGTGTTCACATTCATGTAGACAGTGGTCAAGGCGGTGTCCGTCACTCTTATCACAGATTCTGCAACTCCGCTGATCAGCTGTTGTTTCCATTCCGAATCTCCATGGATATTTCTATCCAAGACGGATTCTTGCTATTACTGATTCTCTCCCGCGGCCACCTCCTCTTCGTCCATAATAATTGGGATTCCCAGCTGCAACCATGTTGTACCTTCGTACAGATTCACTGGTTTGTTCTTCTATCCTCCTTTCCTCGGTTACCTTGTCACGGTGATGTTGCCTGACAATACCTCTAATTTATAGAAGAGTCTTGGGTATGAAGTATTCAATATGGTCTCCTTCAGCGGCCAGCACATCTGTTCGTTCATTTCCACATATTCCGACATGCGAGGGGATCCACAGAAACTTGATGACTCTTCCCTGGTTGGTTATGTCCCGCCCACCTAATGGGGTTGAGGCTAATGGAGTTTAAAACTCCAAAGAGCTCTGGTTACTGTACCAGACTGTTCCTTGCGTACAGATAGACAACGTCCCCCAACCACTCTCTGCCGGAACAGACAACCAACCTCGGCAGCCACACTCTCGCTACCGCTGGTCGACCAACAATGAACTCTAGAGTGCTTGTAGTTTTCTCAACAGATCACCTTGTACGCCTCTTGATCTTGGAGAGGGGTTCAGCGTCACATATCAAGGGGTGCAGCTCCCAAACTGGCCTCGTTGTCCTGTGCACACACCCTACTTGAGCCGCCATGACTCCCCACTCTCTCCTTGTTTGGAAT